CTATTATTATTATTATTATTATTATTATTTTACTCGCACACACACAAATAAAAAAAAATAGTTTTTTAAAAAAGTAATTTTTGTTGTTATTGATGTATATATATATATATATATATTTGGTTAAAGGAGTTGCTCTTCTTTTTCTTGCTATTCTATTGTTTGCTTCGTTTCTTTGGAAAAGGACTGGAAACTTGGAGCTGACTTCTGTTGGTTACCGCCACCAAAGGAACAAGATGTTTTTTGTTTGTTTGTCTGTTTACTGGATCGAGATTTCACTTCCTCCTCTCTCTTCGCCAACACTTCTCTCACTCCATTTCCGCTTATTCTGCAAAGATGCACCATGGGCCTATCGTGGATAAAGAGTGCGGACGATTCTTTTCCGCAGAGTGGTGAATCAAAGACTAAAATAAATAATAACAGTAAAGTGTTTACGTTGGGCGTGGGATTTTGTTTTCTTTTCTTCTTTTTTTTTTCGCCGATTCCTCAAGCCAAACGTATTTGATGAATAAATCAGATATGGGTTTTTCCTAGTATTTGTTTATTTATTATTTTTGTCTGGTGGGTTTGCCCTCTCTTTTTTCCCCTGAAAATAGTGAGCGCGAAAGTGGAAATAAAAATGCGCAGGCTGAAGCAGAACAAGTGGGCGTGGAGGGAGCAGCTGGAGTGTGGCTTGGTTGAATATTTATTTATTGTCGTTGAATCTATTCCATTGTGCTTGTTGTAGTTTCTTTTTTCTCTCTCTCTTCCTCTACTCTCACCCTTCACACGTTTCTGCTCGGTTGTTTGTTGCGTTGCCGGAGGTGGCTGAGGAGCCGCAAAGGCGGGTTGCTACTACGGCAGTAAAAAGCAAGTCAAACACGTGGAGGGAGTTGCAAAAGAAGGTTGAGGCGGAGGAGGGAGCTAGAAAAGCCTTGGGCTTCGCAGACAGATGTACAACCTGGATTTCCTATTACAGCCTCATCCCTCTGAGCTTAGTTATACGTATTCAGAACCTCCGCAGCCTCAGAGAGCGTCATCGCAAAATGACGACCATGATGCTCCTGCCAACAGCTTTCCTAAAGACGGGGTCTACAACTTCCCTGATAGTCTTTCGGAAAATTATCTGCGTGACTACAGTGAGGCGGTGCCCGCTTCAAGGGAAGATGCCGGAAAGACAGGGAGCCCTGTAATCAATTCCAGTAAGGGCGCTGTTGCGGACTATAAACCTGCCATGTGTGACTATCCCGCGTTAGAAACTTCAGCTTCGCGAGGTAATAAAAAGCATCCTTCTGCGGCACTTTCCACCGCCTCTAGCAGAATCAATCGATCTGGCGTATATGACACAGCCCATCCATACTTTTCTCAGTTGGATCAGGATAATCAGAGCAACTTTGGCTATGGCCTGGATGCCCTTCTTAATGGTGTTGAGTTGGGGTTTGGGCCACAGCCGTCATACCCAGTGGCATCACCGAGCTCTCTGCCGGGTGCGGCACACAAATCGCAAGATGCCGATTATGACCTTGAAGAAGTCCATAACGAAAAGATACCGGCGGAGGTGTATTTCCCACGTTCTGCAGCCCCTGTTTCAGCACTAAGTGGCCTCCACAAGAAAATTAGTTCTGCTTCTAGCGTTTCTGTAAATGGGCAAACAAAATCGAATGAAACTTTCACCGGAGAAAAAGTTATATATTGCGCAGAATATCCTTCATTGGCGGTGCCGTTATTAAGGGAGTCCTTGGGTGGAGAAGCGCGAGGATATATGCAGGACGCGGGGTTGTTTCGTAATCAGTTCTTTGGGGAGAATGAAAAGAGCGGTAGTGGGTCAAACGTGCCCTCCGCCCCCCTTGATAGCAGAAAAGTACATGCAGCAGAACTGGAGGCATTGATGACTGTGCCTCCATCGTCCGGCGCCGCTTCTTCCGTTTCAGCGGTTTCAAATGGACGTGGCAAAACGGGCCTTGTTTTTTCAGCGAAGGGCAACAGAGCAACGAGGCGATATCGTCCAAGTGTTGAAGGCACGCAAGACGCTTTTGAAAAACGAAGGAGTTCGGATATGGAGTACCCTGCTTTTGATGCCCACTCGTTTCGTGAATCCTTTTATTGGCCGAATAGCTCTCACCAGGCTCTACACGCTCTGCCCCCGGCGGTGGAAAGGGGGAAAAAAAACCTAGGCCCACCCGTGGCTCAGAGAAGCCTCTAACAGTATTATCGCCTACCGTGCCGCCACGGGATAAGGCGCCTCGTGAGGTGACCCTGCATGAGTTTGTTGGCAGCATGGAGTATCCTTCCTTCAGCGGTATGCAGGATGACTCGGTGTTTGATATGACCTACCTGCTGCCACCCTCTCCAAAGCCTACTTGCGCAGCCACGCAGGGGGATCGAGACTCCTCGCCGGACAGCTCACCGCGACACTTGGAGGAGCAGGAGGAAGAATTGAGAAAAGAGGAGCAGCGTATCCGGGATGCGCGTCGTCGCGCCGGTGACAAGTCGGATTTGCGGGGTTGTAGAATGGTCGTTATGGATAATCGGTTTGCCCCCAAAAAGGCCGTGGCGCCTGAGCGGCCCTCTAGCGTTCAAGTGCAAAGAGAAAAGGCACAGGAGAGGGAAAACGAAGAACGATGTGCTCGGGTGCAGGCATTCCTGGAGCAGCGTCGGAGGGGGCAGGCACGCGGCGAAGAGGTGAAGCAGGGTCGAACAGAGGAGGGGGAGGAGAAGGGTGAGCGGCCGGCGAAGTTGCCCAAGCGGTCTTCCACCCCTCAAACAGGGCAGGAAAGGGCACCAACAGAGCGCGCAAACCCCACGCAACTTCACTATCGGAGGTGGAAATACACGACAAAAGGTCCCATGCAGCAGTCTGTAGCGGCGCCTTGCCTCGAAAGCGTTTCTGCTGAGGCAAAACCTCCCCGGGAGGCTCCGCAAGTCTCAGGCCCCTGCGAGCCGCAGAACGTGAGGAGTGGGAACCAGGTCCACTCGCTAGTTATAGTTCACAAGGAACGGGAGGATGCGAAGAAGCCGGCAAAAATAAAAGTGCTTGGAGAAGCGAAACTGGAGATCCATCAAGACCGTGAACCGCCCCTTTTTTTGAGGTTGATGAATGCTTAGAGTCGTACGGCGACAGTCGGTTGTACTCCGTCACCCTCTCTAAGCTCCGTCGAATGTTGTTTTCTGGCTTTAATGTGTCCATGTGCCTCGCTGGAAGCGAATCTGTGCAGCTGCTAAGCTGGAGACCTCTGCGTGAAGTAATGCACGGTGTGTTTCGAGATTTAGGCGGCGACCGTGAGTTGTTTCTATCGGTAGCCTTGGTGCAGCAAGGGCTCACGCAGGATCTCCTTTCGGACTCGGGGCGAATGGTGCGCACGACGTTCCACAGCACCGCGCCGCTTGACGCCACTCTCGAGAATGTCGGTTATACAAAGCTGAGTGATTTGCGACACTTTTCCAAGCTTCTGGCGCGTGGGTGGGAACTGTCTCGATTCGATACTACAAGTAACTGCGGCTTTCTTGTGGTGACGGTTATTCTCAAACAAGTTACGGGGAAGGACGTGATCTTATCGTCCATGTTGGTTGTGTTTGGGAGCCACTCCACCACGCACCTCCATAGCTTGCTTAACAAAGAGAGGCCCGTTGCCCATGCCTTGCTTACTGCCGCGCTGCGTAGCCCGTGTTTTGCCGTGGCGGCCTTCACCTTGTACGACGAAGACATGAGTATCGTGCGTCTCATGAACACGCAGCGCAGGCTCTCCTCCATTGTCAGTGCCCCCGGCAAGGTGGGAAGTGTGCGAAGGTTTCTTGAGGAGGCAGAGAAGAAGCTCGCTGCGGGTGCCGACGTAGAGGCAGCGGCGGGTGCCGAGCGTGAGGAGCTCGTGAGGGGGGTTGCGGCCGCCAGGAAGGCCCTGAAGGACCCAAGGCACTACATCCCCCGGGGAAGCGTTGAGGAGGTAAAAGAACGTCAAGAACTGAAGGACAAGGCGAGGTTCGAGGCGACCAACAAAACCACCTCTGAAGTGCCTCGTGCCGCCGCCATGGCCGCGAAGGAACCCACAAGCGGCAAAGCCCCCGAGAGCCAACAACAGCCGCCGCAGGTGCCTGGCGATACAGTCGGCACGGAAAAACAGGAGACGAGTCAGCAAAGCGCACAACTCCCCTCAGTGCGGCATGGGAAAAAGACGGGGTCACATCCCGCAGAAGAGGATGCTAACCCAAGCGAAGCTCGCTTGTATAAAAGTAAGGGCCACATGGAGAATGTCCTCGAGCGGCGCCATTCACGGGGAAGCACAAGCGCATTGACGTCTGCTCCAACTGCTGCCACGAAAAAAAAGGATGCGACTGCGGCTCTCCCTACGGCGCGTCAATCACCGGGCATCCAGCAAGAGAAGGGGGGGAATGCCCCAGTTACGTTACCGCCGTTGCCTTCCGTGGGACGCCGGGGGGAACGGCCCCCGGCATGTTCCCCGAAACTGCCCAACGAAACGGATCTGGACTTGCCCGCACAGCACACTCCTCCGGCTGTGCCTGGCCGAGGGGTTATGGACGGCCTCGAAAAGGAGTCCATGCATTCGCAGCCTCCCACCCACGCAGGAACGCTTGCTTCCATGCAAGAAAATTGGTTGGAAAAGGAGCCCTTAGGCCTCCACGCGGAGCAGCAGCAGCAGCAGCAAGGGCAGCTGGAGAATAAGCCAGTCCTGCGGCCCGCTCCCCCGCTAGTTGCTACTGGTGCAGCTAGCTGTGAAGCTTCTCGTTTCCTCTCCGCGTCCGTCCCTCTTGGATCCACGGCGAGTACGCGGTACGTGCAGCGCACAGAAGTTCCTCTACAAAAACTGGTATTTCATAACATTGAACAACAATCAGGAGTGCTCCCTGCTGTAGCGAAGACGTTGTCAATGGAGGGGCTGCCCCAACTCGGTCGAAGGAGCGACGAACCGTCAACGTGCACCTCCGCCGAAGTTGCACCGCAAGGGAACTCTGCAGATGCGAATGCGTCTCTGACGCTGATCCCAGAACAGGATGAGTACGTAGAAGAGGAAGCAGAAGGGGGCGATGGCGGAGCCAGCGAGCACCGTCCGATGGGAAATGCGCCTTGCCAAGGTAACAGAAACCGCAGGAAACATTCTACAGCTGTGATTTCATCAGCCAATCCTAGTGTGCGAACCCTTGTCGCGCTTGATTCACGGTGCAAAGAGAATTTCAATGTCACGCACGATGGCACAATGGTTATTGTGATGACGGATGATGATTTTGAAGAGTATGAGGTGGACGAAGTGATCGAGCGACAAGATGGCTGTGAATCTCTCAAGTCTAAACTGCTGGAAGAATTACTGGACATATTTATGCTAGGCTGCAATGCGGCTATTCTGGCGGCGGATGGCCGCTCTTCGTCCATGTCAACCTTTGTTTTGAAGAGCGTCGTGCGTGAAGTTATGGCGGAGGTCGGTGCGACGACGCCGTCCGAGGAGCCGCAATACAAAGGGGCCCTCAGTGTCTCTATGGTACAGGTGCGGGGAGAGAAGGTCTTGGATCTGCTCAAAGAAAACAGTAAACCGCAACGGTTAGTTATTGCCCTCTCGCCCATCTTTGGTCCATGCGTGCACGATGTGACGCGTCTTGCTGTTAACAGTGCGGTCGTATTCGACTCCACGTTAACAACCGCGCTCACGCACGCTGCCAAGAATGAGCGGGAGTACGGGATAGTGTTCATCTCCCTCGTGTTGAAGCAAAAGCTTGAGGATGAAAAGGACGTGATGGTCTCCTCACTTGTTGTTAGCCTGGTGGGGGAAAACGCCGGTGTGTATGCGGCTGTGCTTGACCGGAGTCCCCTCGTTCCCCGCGCGCTGTTTCACTATGCATTGGGAGGCCCATGCTTTACGCTGGCCCTGCTCGGTTTTAGCGGCGATGAAGCACGCGCGTATGAGATGCTGGCCGTGCAACGGCGCCTTGGCGAAATGATCAACCGACCAGTTCACCGCGGCAGCATTAACAAGTTTATCAGTGGGATTCGCAAGGATCTGGCGCCGGCGTTCGTTGGAAAATTGCAGAGCTCTGACGATCAAGAGTCGACCAAAAAAATCTTGCGTCGTCTAGATGAAATGGTGCAGGATGCTGAGGCGCTTTTAGAAAACTTCGACAGCACCGATCCCCAGGCGTACCTGAATGATGCGGAGGAAAAGCAGACGAGTGAGAGTCAATGGGAACGCAGGCCACCCTCAGGGGCAGTTGCCGATGCCAGTGACAGAGAGCGGGTGCGCTCCCTCGTATGCTTCGAGCAACGCTTGCTCGGCGAGGGTTCTACGACTGTACAGGACAACTCGGTTCTCGCTCGCAACGGGCCGTTCGTTTCTCGCTATGACGTGGACGAAGTGTTGATTCGAGAGCCCGGCGGGAGTGTCCCTTCCTCGCGGCTGATTGAGGAACTTGTGTCAAAATTTTTACTGGGACATTGTACGGCGCTGCTTGCCGCGGAGGGTCGGACGTCCGCTGTGACACCGCTCATCCTACGGAAAATTGCCTACCTCATCCTCAAGAAAATAAAGATGGAATCATCCTCAACCTCGATTACAGGCGACTTGCTTGCCTCCATTGCACTCGTCAAGGACAATGTCACGGCAGATTTGTTAGCTGTTGACGCTGAACTGGCGTTTCACCGCTTTGAAGTGGAGGTATCACCACTTTTGAACCGTCGTTTGCGGGGCGCATCATACCACCTAGTCGCCTCCGCGGAAGGATTTGATAGTCTCCTTGCCGCTGCCGTTGCTCGCGCCGAACCCGCGCTAAAGTCTGAGGATCCTGGTATTATGGTCGTGGCACTCAGCCTCACGCAACATGTGGAATCTCCTATGCGTGACGTGCTCCTTTCGTCTTTCATGGCAACCACCGTATTTGACGGTGTGTCGCATTACACTGGCGTGCTGCATAACAGTTCCTCTGAACCAACAGAACTTTTTGAGCTTGCACTCGGTGGCTCGTGCTACACCATCGCTATGCTTGGAATTAGCGACGAGGAGGAAGAGGTGGGACAACTCCTTGCGGTGCAAACGGAACTGGCCCACGTGCGTAATCAACCTTCGTCTCCCGTCAGCGTTCTGCAGCATGTGAACGAAGTAAAACAGGGGATTCTTGCCCTTCGTGAACTCCAAAAAACGACAAAGGACTTGCAACAAATGGAGTACATCAGTGTCAAGATCAGATATGCAGAAGCTTACTTGAAGGAGACTGAAGCAGTTTTGGAGGCGCCGGTACGAGAAAGAGGTTTCGTGCCCTTGGGTGCATAGGCATAAATGGGGCCATGTGTTGCCGCTATGCATTACTATTACTGTTGCGAGTACAATGTACTAAATGGTTCCCTTTCCTTTTTTTTTTGATTGGCTTGCTTGCTTCCTTGACTGGGGGTTTGTTTTGAGCGGTTATTTTTGTCCGTACAGGGGAGGGGAGACAGACCGAGGAAGTCACGCCTTCAATGTGTCTTTCTTTGGATGCCCCGCTTTGGGGCCTGATGGAGTAGAATATTTATTCCTTCTTGCCGCGGCACAGCGTGGATGCTTCCAGGTATGTCACCATCCTTGTCTCTTTTATTTGATTTTTTTCTTAGTCAGGTGTTTCTGAGCCGCGTGTTTCATTGTTATTATTATTATTCTTTTTTTTTTTGCTTTTCCTTTTGCTCCTTGTTTTGGGGGGTCTGAGCCACGATGGGTGAACAATGGGGCTCTACAGTGCGGCGGCGTGGCGGAGTGGGTATGTCTTTTGTGCCGCTTCACTGCAGTCCTCTCCTCACCAGGGGCCAGGGTCCTTTTTCTTTCTGCCGCAGCTCCTCTTGGGGGGGGGGGGGCGACGGATGTGTGCTGCGACGGTGGCTGGCGTGCGAGCCATCGAATTAATTCGAGACGATACGGGGGAAAGATAAAAGAACGCTGCTTGTTAATAATATAAATATGTTGTTTATTGACTGATGTTTTTTTTCTGTAGAATTTATTATTTATAAACTTTTTTTACTATTATTGTTTTGATTATCAGTGCTATTAATGCGAGTTTTGTTCGGTTTACCGGCAGTAGGAAAACTCGAGTTTGTATTGTTGTTATTTTTTAATGGGTTATTGCTGCTCTTAGCAATGTTTTTTTATTTATGTACTAGTTTTCTTGTAGTAAGAGCTTTTTTTTTTTGACAAGTGATGTAAAAAAAAAGTTTTTTTTTTGTTTTTTTCTAGGGGCTTTTGCTGTTTGCATTGCGGTATGGCTGTTTAGTTATTTATTTGGTTTCATTTCATTGTTATTA